AAACCTTGCTGGATTGATTCTGCATGGTCTCCTGGAGTTCCTTGGGCTAGGCCCAACAAGTGCAGGAAAGAGGCGTGGATGGAAGTGGTAAATAAAATAATGGGCAGGCCACGCACAGAGTAAAATAAGTGTCAGATTCTGATCACGCAACCTAGATCCCTCACATGCGCAGTTCACAGTAGGGTTCGTGCTCCTATGAGAATCTAATGCCGCTGCTGATCTGACAGAAGGCAGAGCTCAGGTGGTAATGCGAGCAATGGAGAACAACTGTTTTCGCTCGCTCGCCTGCCGCTCACCTCCTGCTGTGTGGCCCGGTTCCTAACAGGCCACAGACCGGTACTGGTCCGTGGCCCAGGGGTTGGGGACCCCTGGACTATGGGCCTTCTGTAGATCATTTTGTGAGCCTCTAATCCACTGAAACTTGAGGCAGTGAATAATTGGCTGTAATATTCTTCCCACATGGAGGCAGGTATAGGGATGTCCAGGAGAACCTATATTCCCACAATATTCCTGTAACCGAATGCCAAAAAAAGACTGGGTTTGGGGTTTTGGCTGCTAACTCTAAATTTAACCAGAGAGAAGACAAATGGTGAGATTTCTTGCACTTGATAGTTTTCTTGTAGTCTTGTCTATGACTACACCCTAGCATGGCAGCATGGCTATTATTTGGGGGATGGCTAGCCCATAGAGGCCTGCTGTCTTCAGCCCCAGATCCTTCATCTTCTTGGACTCTCTTCCTTTTTTTTAGTAATGTTTTTTAAATTTTTATGTTTTATGTATTTATACGTATTTATGGTTTTAATGTTTTGTGTGAACCGCCCAGAGTCCCCCACTGAGAGGAGATGGGCGGGGGAGAAATTTAATAAATAATCATAATAATAATAATAATAATAGTAGTAGTAGTAGTAGTAATAATAATAATAATAATAATAATAATAATAATAATTTGACCTTAATCTTTTTCTCAGGGAATGACACTCTAAGTCAAACCAATGAAGGCCTTTTATCTGAGATCTGGGGGCCTTTTCAATCTCTGTTTGAAGAAGAAAAAATTTTCTTAGTCCTGCACTTAGGTTTTCATAGACTGAAAGTACAGAGCCGACATCTGTGCAAGGTGAAATAACTGTGTCTACCAGAGTCAGGGCTTGATCAGAATTCATATATTCAGTCAGTGCCACTGCATCCACTCTGGCCTATTTTATCCTTCTGTCCTAGTGGACTTCTAAATGAAGTGAAACCCATCTATCATTTGTGGTATGGGTCTGAGGTCTGAATGACCACAGAAATTTACAGCAACTGGTGAGTGGTCACTATCCTCTCTTACATACACCTGGATGTCTGAGAAAAGGAACAAGTTAGTATTTGAGACACATATATAATCTAAAGTGCTACTTGATTTCCCTCAATGGTAAGTAAAGGGATAAACAAAATTTTGGTCCTTGCCCCCTAGAATGTTCAGGTTATACTTGCATACCAGGTTTAACAACTGTATACCAGCAGTATTTCTTTTCTGGTCCCTAAAAGGCCATAAAGGTAATAGGGAGTGGAATTCTTTGGGGATGTTCATATTACTAATATGATGTTGTATAGAAGGCCCTAGCCTCACATTAAAATGTCCCAAAATAATTATAACTGTTTTAGGAATGTTTGAGATTAATTCTACCAAGGTTTGCTCTACGTCCATCCATGTATCAGGGGAATAATATGTAGACGTTTGCAGGGGTATATAAATGTTTAACATCACAATCACAGAGGCCTTATATTGGAATTTAACACTAAGCAAAAAGATGAAGAGGCACCTATGATCATTTCTGTGCCCTTCCATCCTAAGTCTTCCTTGATCATAAATGTTTAGAAATAGGACACTACATTATAAAGACATATTGCTTTGGGTTTCTTTAGCTTAGTAATGGCATTATATTGCACTCCTGTATAGTTTTCACTATGCATCATGCATGTTAAGACAAAACACAGAAAGTAGAAGTTGAAGATACCCCAATAGGTTATCTAGTCCAACCCCATGCTCACATTAACTAAGCCATCCCTGACTGCCCCATCCAACCCCCATTTGAAGATCAGCAGCGATCTGTCTAACAGAGATTAGAACACTCCTGGTCCTAAATATTTTCCTTGTATACAGTTCAAAATTAGGGTAAAAATATTCTTAATAAGCCAAAGATATATAAAGTGTTGCTTTCCTCATCACAAAAATACTTCAGCAGATGTGGACATTTCTATATTAGGAAAAAATATGTGGGATCAGCAGTAAAGATGCCCTTGAGTCAAGCTCCATGCTTATTAACTATATGGTGCTTCAATACAGTTTCATTGGCAACAGTAACAGAAGCATCCCTTCCTTTGCAATGTTTTTCAAATTCCCAGCCTGGTCTATAGCCCCCAAATTCCCTAATGGTTCCCATTTAAACAGTATTTAGCTTTCAAGCCCAGATAAGATAAGCCAAGCACATGGTAAATTCATCTCTGATCCATAACAAGATTTTTGTAATGAGAGAATTACAGAAACAAAAAGGTAGATTACTTTTTTCTTGTCCCATCATCCTTAGTCTCTCCTTGTTAAATAGCATGAAAATTTAAACCTAATGGCCAGCCATGAATCGGCACAAATTATTATATAGTGAAGGAAAGAAGGATTTTGAGTATAGGAGGGGGAATTGTGTTCATATCCTTCTTTAATCCTGTGATAGTCCAAGGAGGATTTTAAAACTCATGACATATATCACCCAAATTCTTATCCCTCCTTACAAGAGATTTAATGTAAGGCACTCCAGCCCTTTTCTCCCCCAGTTTCCTCTCTTCCTTCAACTGATACTTATAAGCAAGCAGATGCTTGCTGTGCTGTTTTAAGAATTTGTGTGTGTTTGGGGGGAGGTTATATGGTGTCATGGCAGACTGATTTCATCAAAAGACATGATTTGGTTTGACTTTGGCTTCTGTGCTTTATAAATCACACTGTATGGTATTTTGCCATACTCAAAATATGGCAGCTTCCCTTCTTGGCAATTTCAGAATCTGTGAAATTCTTAACAATAACCATGGGAACTGAGGATACTGATTCTCCACACATCTGGAAGACAGTGTCCTCATTGCATCTGAAGGACAGGTTGAGGAAGGCACATATGGTTAAAAGAATCAGTGTGGAGTTCAGCCCTCCTACCACTATAGTTTTAAATTGAGTTTCTACTTGAGCCTTTTTCTTACACATATGTTCCTCTCAACCTATTAAACACTTACTCTCTGGAGAAACTGTGCCATGTACACCTCCTAAACAGCATGGGACTTCAGTGCAGTTATAAGGAAATATCATAAAGTTTAAATAGATGGGCTCCCAATTATTCCAAGGTTACTCCATATTGGCAAGTGCTTCCATAACATAAATATCAAGACTTACTGAGCTCAATTTCTGGACTTGTACAACAAGTAAACTATAACATAATCAACCTCACAGACTGATTATGCAAGATGCTAGGTTAAAATGTGGATGGCTTGGTGTGCTTCCGCATGTTGTGCAAGCATAATCATTGTCATAATAACCTGGCAACGTATCTGTTGTGCATATCATTAACTTCAAATATAGGAAAACAGATTCACTATCTGCTTTGTTGCAAACTCACTATTAGCTATTATTGACAAGCATTATAATAAAATGCAAGTTGATTCCAGCATTTGTGTAAAAGATAAAGGGACGTAGAGACCTTCTTTCCGTTTCAGGGACTGCCCTCTAAATTACCTATTTAATTTCCATTATCTTCTAAGAATCAATGGATCCTGGTAGCCAAAAACTACTGTATTTCACCAAAAGCAGTAATTCCCATCCAAGTTTCACACGTGAGAGCGCGCGAACAGGCACCTGTGATGTTGTATCGGCCAAATTCCTAGAGCGCGTTGGCCACAACAGTAATACACCTAAACTCTCCAGCTTACGTCCGTGCACGCTCACCACACACGCTGGAAACCGCCCGCAAGTCCTCCAGCTGCCACGCGGTACGCTCCCGGCACACTACCCCGGCGGCCCGTCACCACAGCAACCGCACACGCGTGGCCCTTCCTTCACTACAAGCCTTCCCTCGATTCTTCACCGCTTAAACTCGTATCTCCTTCAAGCTACTGAAGGGGAGAACTTTAAAGGAGAAAGCTACGAGAAACGAGCGGTCGTCACGTACATAAATCAGAATTGCTTTTCTTCTCCCGCCGAAGCCGGTGTAGTATGAAAGTTGACTTCTTTCCCCTCCATTATTAAATACCGCGCATACTCAGAAAAGCTGAGCATGCTCAATAGCGTCGATTGAAGCCTTTGCCCTTAACCTACTGGTAACTAGCGAGCCGTGGGCGAGACTGAGCATGCTCAATGGCACCAAATGAAGTGCGTCCCCATAGTTGTCCTTTTTATTTTGTGATGCGCCCTCAGCCAAAGGCGGGTAGTAGATTAGGGAAAGGATATGCTGTTATTCGGTAGAAAAGCAGTATATTCCTTATATTCCTCTAGCTGCATCATTATTTCAACAGCAATATCTGGTCCCTATAATTGTCTTTTCCATAAAGATTTCTCTCCTTTAATTGTCATAAGCGGAGTCATAAAATAGCCAGTTAACTATTTCACAGCCCAATCCTCAGCAGATTCACTTATCTGAAAAAAATTAATTACTTTTTTTTACCCTTTTAATTTTAATCACATGTAAAACCTGGCTGGCTCATGCTAACCCCTAGTTTGCAAAATAATTCCATTGGCTGGGTTCGCATATAATGAAAATGCTTTATACTAAAACAAGTTTATTTGCTTGTAAATAAATTTCACTTACATTGATTGTTTTCCAAACAAAAGTAGTGGGATTTAAAAGAGATATACATAATTAAATCCCTTTTATACGTCAAATCTTTAGTACTTCCTTTCAGATATTGTTGAACAGTAAATTAATCAACATTTAAATGCAAGTTACATAGGTTGAATCCAAGTTTATTCATCTAACTAGACAACAGACCACTGAAATCAGCAAGATATAAGTTATTCATAACTACATTCTCTCACTGGATTTCACCAGTCAACACTAAGCATTAAAATCTGGAATCAAGCCAAGCCCAATGTCACAAAGTGAACATTATTTTCTTGCCTTTTTAATAGCCTTCTCATATATATTCATCCATGTGTCTTCTCAATTAAAGAGGTACCACAAAGGAAATTAAATACCATCTGCAATGAACTTTTTTTCTTAGTACTCAATTTTGAAGCTCTTTTTGGATTAGGAACCAAAAGGAAAAATGTTTCCAAAAGTCATTTTAAACACTGAATGGACAATTCATTATTTCTCTGGCATACTCCCCAGAATTTTTCCCTTACTTATGAGGTGGCACAGTCAAAACCTCTGGGTCTAGTGTCATGATGCTGCCAAAATAATGAGCATGAACCTTTTCCCTGTGATTATAATAATGTAACATTTCGTTGAGCCACTTTTGTGTAAAAGTCACTAAGCTTTCTTGGCTCTTTCTCTAACCCCTTTCATAGGGACATTATTTCTCTTCTCCCCATTCTCTAGATTGTCAAGCTCAAGAGTTAATTTTTACTTTTGTGCTTAGCTTTCCTTTATAATTTTCTCACTTAACAGTCGCAATTCCTTACATCTATGTTTTAATTAAAAGGAGGTTCCAATCCTTTCCACCCCTCATCTGCACATAAAAAGCTAAAGACTCCCTTGAGTCAAATTTGAATTCTGATGGCTTCATGGACACATCTATGTAGTTTTCCTGGCAACAATACAGAACTGATTTACCATTGTATTCTTCCAGGATACTTGTCTATTTCCCAATCTAATTTACAATCTTGGTACTTTCCTAGTTGTCTCCCATCTAGGTGCTACTTTGATCCTACTATACTTAGCTTTTCAAGATCAATTAAGGTTAGCTAGATGCTAGTCCCTGCTATATGTTTCTCCATCATTGCCTTCATCCATTTCTTTCTTGCAGACCCGTAGACCTTTTTTGCATGCAACACCTGAGTAACAGCAATGTAAAGTAATTGCATCCCTTCTGCCAGCTAAAACCCTTTTGTAACCATTTTATCCAGGTAGAATCTGCCCATCCTATATGTTTGAGTTGTGAAAACATATTGCATATCCCCACCCTCAATGAAGCTGCAGGGGCAAGGAAACATGTCTTCTCTGTAGCTGCCCCAGCTCATTTCCTCAATATAAAAATCCCTGTCAACATTTGGGACAGAATTGAAAACAATCATCAGCTTTCAGATTTTTTTTTGAGGATTTTACTAGCTGGAATCATGAGAACAATGATAATGATTTTAACAGTGTTATGATTTCATGGTTGCTTTATATATGTAAGTCACCAAGAGTCTTATTATTGGAGAGGCACAGAAAATGTGTAAAGTAGGTAGATAGGTAGGTATCTAGATAATAAATAAAGCTGCAGAGTATCTGAAAGAGAGAAGCAGAAAACTATGAAGGTACCTTGGTTATAGTGATGCTTTCTTTGAAGGTCTGCTATGGTTTATTTTATTTTATTTTATTTTATTTTATTTTATTTTATTTACAATACTTAAACATTGCCAAGCTGATATAACACTGGGTGGTTTACAATAGTATTGAAATATGACAATAATATTAAATCATATTTAAACCAAAACTCAGCAACAGTTATAACAGAAATGTGGAGCCCATTCATTGTGTGTGTGTGTGTGTGTAGCTTTTGAATCTGCTTTTGACTCCTGGCAACTGTGTGGACTAGTCCCTGCAGCTTTCTTAGCAAGGTTTTTTGGATGTGGTTTGCCATTGCCTTCTTCCTAGGGCTGAGATAGAATGACCAGTTCAAGGTCACCCAGCTGGCTTTGTGCCTAAGGCAGGACTAGAACCCACAGTCTCCCAGTTTCTAGCCTAGTGCCTTAACCACTTCACCAAACTGGCTCTCCTCATTCACAGTAAGTCAACAAAAAAGTCATCCACCAAAGACCTGATTAAATAATGTAGTCTTCAATGCTTTGTAGAATACCAGCGAGGAGAGTGCAAAGGCAGCTCTATAGGCAGAGCATCACAAAGCACAGGGGTACTCTGAAGACAGAGGACAGTCTTCAGGCCAGTATCTCCATGGTCTGATACAGAGACGGAAGCTTTCTCTCCATATATGCATGTACGGATTGGGCAAATTTCGCTTGCAGGAGGTGATCCTTCAGGTATCTTGGAGCCAAGATGTATACGGCTTTGTAGTCAAAAACAGTATTTTGTACACAGAAACTGATTACAGTTCAGATATCCTAAAGTCCATGTGCAAAGGCTTGAGCAAAGCAAATGGGAAGTTTGGGACCTAATCCATGAGAATTTCATTAAGGATCTTCATCCTATTTAGCAATGACATTTGTTTCTGTACCTCTGATGCTGTGAATGAGCTAATGAAGTGACCAGCAAATACAGGTAGTCCTCGCTTAATGACAGAATTTCTGTCATTAAGCAATCTGATCGTAAACTGCAATATCACGTGACCACATTGCTTAGCAATGGCAATCTTGGTACTTCCTGTTGCTGTCATTAAGCGAGGATTGCGGGTTTTTAAGTGAGTTTCAGGCGGCTCACAAGCAGGCCGGCAGGTAAGTGGCTGCTGCCTGGTGGGGGAAGGTATGTGGGTAGCCGGCAATGGGCGGCACAAGTGCAGTCAGGCCAGGGGTAGCTGCTGCCGGGTAGGGGAGGGTGCATGGGCTGCTGGTGACCAGAACTTCAAGGACCAGTCGCAAGTAGCACTCATTCAGCATCATTGTAACTTTGAACAGTCACTGAACATATGATCATTAAACAAGGACTACCTGTAGGTGTTATACTGCAGTACAGGTAGTCCTCGCTTAACAATGCTAATTGGGACCAGAAACTCTGTCATTAAGCAACATGGTTGTAAGTTGAAAAATCACATGAACACACTGCTTAGCGATGGCAGTTCTAGCAGTCTTGGTTGCCATCATTAAGTGAGGACCATGCAGGTTGTTAAGCGAGGACCTCACATGACCATGACTTGCAACTTCTTGCCAGCTTCCCCATTGACTTTGCTTGTCGGAAGCCGGCAGGGAAGGTCACAAATTGCGATCACATGATTGCAGGGCACTGCAATGGCCATAAGTACAAGGACTGGTTATAACTACCACTCGTTCAGTGCTATCATAAATTCAAATGGTCGCTGAATGAGTGATTGTTAAACAAGGACCATGTGTAGTGGTTTGTACCTGCTAGTGTCTTGACCACTGTGTTTTGAACTAGTTTAAGTTTCTGGGCAGTTTTCAAAAGTACCCCATTAATCTAAAAATATAGTGGTGAGAGTGTGAATTATAGTCACCAATGATTTATGGTTCAGGTAGACCTAAAACTGGTTCACCAACCTAAGCTCCCCTGGTCACAACTACCATCAGTGTTTTTGTAGCAATTAAACATCTAGGAGAGCCCCCAAGGTGCAAGCCTGCTCCTTCAAAGTCAGGGTGACCTCATTTACAATAATCACCGGGGACATGTTTCAGCCCAGATGTTTCTGGACAAACAGTAATTTTGTCTTGCTGTCACAAAATTTTAGCTTGTTTCTACCCATCCAGACCCTCACAGCCTCCAGCCTTGAGACACCAAGTTAGGACTTTCAAAGCACTTCCTGCTTGACCCGAGGTAGAGCTGGGGATCATCAGCATACTGCTGATACCTCACCCGAAACTTACTTCTCTTAGAAGCCTCATAAACAGCAGGAATGACAGGTCCATGCCCTGTAGCACCCTGTGTTAGAGTCAATGTTCAGTGCTGAATGCACAGCACTTTCTGCAAAAACTCCACTACTGGATTTCTCCCCAGCTTTCTTTGCTCCAGCAGTTTAAATTACAGGTAGGGAATCCTTTTATCTTTTCTATTATTAAGCCTTTTCTATTATTAATATGAAGTCACCACACTATACACTGTCAGAATAAGCAACATTATGCAGAGCACAGAAAAAGAGATGGCAGTAATAAGCTTAAAGAAAATGAAGGCAGATGAAAAAAGGAGATTTAACTACATTAAAACCTCAATTTTACAGACCAACTGTGAGGAAGAGACATCCGTTAAAACAGAATGCCTGTTAAATCCAAATTGTCACAATTAACATAATTAGGTCATTTGCATCAATTCACATCATTTTGCATGAATATTTAATTGATATAATTTACATCATTTGTGTTGATTTACAACATTTGCACAATTTCAAACTTACGTACATACACAAGTGATGCAAAGTG